AAAAAGTGGGAATGCAGAATAGCTTCGTGACCAAGAGAAGAGAGACTAGCATGCGCATGAATTAAGTTTATGTGTTCCCGCACGATGATGGTACGGAAGTACGGAAGAAACGTGAAGTAGTTTGGCAGGGTGGCGGAGGAGGCGATGGTCGGGAAAGGGATATGATATACTTTCAAAGAGGGCAGCAGCCAGCGAATTCCGACACGGTCAGGAGGATGACTGTGTGTGATTACTATGACCTGCAGGATGTGATGAGTGGCATGGACGACCGACGAGTAACCTAGCGTACTTTATGTCCTCTGCGAATGAGGTTTGAACTGAGCATGAATATGTGATTTTCAACCCCACCCACGTCAGGATGGAAGAAATCTGACACCATCCTGGATTCTGCGTGAAACACCCTCTGCATTGACCAAACAGCATAGGACATACGCAATAGAAAGTGCTCCATCCTTCATGCTTCTGGAGCCCTGCGCTGGACGTTGGTTGAAGTTGCAACCGGAAGTCCACCTGGCGACGCGCCTTTGTAGAATAAGAAAAGAAAAGAAGAAAAAATAGTCCGGCCGAGGATCGAACTCGGAGCCTTCTGTGTGTGAGACAGAAATCATAACCATTAGACCACCGAACTTGCAAAAGTTTACTACCACATGCACCTCTTATATTATAAGGCACCTCCAAGTCAGTTGGCTCGACGCCATGCATGCATGAATCGCTATGTACGACTCGACATCGAACAGAGCACAAATGGTCATGAGATCAGAATATATCGGAGTAGTTCGTGATATCCAACAGAGATAGTAAAAGATAGTCAAAGCCGTGAATTGACATCAGACACTGCAACTCCTCTAGGACGCGCTCCGCCTCTGGTCATGTTCTATAAGTGAAGATTCCTGGAGCTCTTCTTCCAAAGCTCTCCAACCCTCGGCAGTCAAAATTGGAACTCCAGAACTTATGTCCTTCTCAAAGTAATGCGGGACGAACCTGGCTTTGCGTCAATCTATGCAGAAGGAAAAGGTCAACCTCGAAGCTTACTCTTCGCCTTTACGCTTGCGTTCACTTGCTTCGTCACGCTGCCTCTGTTCGATGGCCAACTTGTGTTTTGTCGCGTCACTGTACTCCTTGTTAACCAGCCTCGAAGTGACATTATCCCATAATTTCCGAGACTCGTTGGGAAGTTGCTTCTGAAGAGGACGAACGACCTTTGGCACTACTTGCAGAGCCGAGAGATCCACAAGGGTTTCGTACTCTGAAGCGATTGGTAGCGAGACACTTGAGCAAGACGCAGACGCTGAGCCCGTCCGCCGCCAGCGAATTTGACCCCTCCAACACCCCTCAAAATGAGCAAGAACGTAAGACTGTGGTACGTGTTTGACCTTAGTCCACTGCTCGAATTCCGTGTCATCTTCATCGTACGTATGTATCACACCTTCGACAAGGAAGTGGGCCTTTCCGATCCACGACTAAACAGGTAACTGTGATCAGCCACGTCCAGCCAGTACAGTAAACGCCTACTTACCTCTTCTTTGTACTCGATCACCGCCCTTAGCCGTTGCCCGCCACTTCCTCCAGTGCATGTAATGATGGTTGAATCTGCTACTGTGATATAAAAGTTTCCTCTAAGGATTCCATTGACGTTTGCCACGGGATGCGTGATGTGGTATCTCTCCCCCTCGCCTGGACCACCAGTAATATCGATGAAGATGCCCTTGTTGAAAGAACCGGGTGCGACACGTAAGGTGGTACCTGACACCTTCGAAGATATCTGGTCAATTCCCTTCATCTCAATGGAGCGCGCAGGGCACGATGCATAGTAAGCGGACACGGGAGGATGGTGCGACACCTGCTCCGTCAGGTATGCTACCCGGATGTGATCCGAGCTGCGGGCCTCACCAGACCCCAAAGATAGATTCGACATAGAACCAGAGAGTGCTTCATCGACCACAGGCTCCTCGGGAGTAGGAGTTATAGAAGGGCCTGGCTTGATTTTCGTAAATAAACTGAGGCCATTGCGAATGCTCTTGAAGCTACTCTCGCTATGTCCACTCTTGACGCTGAGTGTCTCGAAGGGAAGCGCTGTGGTTGAGGCAGGTGCAGAGTGGGTATGCGTGGCATGAGTTCTCAAGATGGGACGCTTGGCGGGGTCTGAGGAGTAATGCACAGGGGGGACGTCCCAGTGAGAACGGAAGTGCTCTCCGAGAACAGAATTGTAAGGCTTGCATACTTTGCCGTGCTGCAGAGACGCTATTCAGCATCCTTCGGTTGGACGAGACAGAACGCTTACAATGAACTTGAGATCCTTTGTGAACGTAAACCGCACTACAGCAACCATGCGCTCAAAGGGATCGTCATGGTCGTTGATCCTACGCAGAAGTCAGAGGGTGCGCTTTAGACGGAGCTTTACGAACCGACGTACGCTGCAAACAAGTCAGGTCTATCCAGGTAATGCCAGTACTCCAGGTTTGGTAGGGGTTCAAGCAAGGACGCGGGTAGGGAAAGGCGCCTGGTGGCTCGTGCTTAATAGTTGGGATGCGAAGAAAGCACGACACTTACATTGCGGCGATGTCTTTCACACCCAAAGACTTCTTGACGAGCTGTACAATCATCCTGAGCTTTCCCACCTCCCCGGTATCGCCAGAATCGGGGACGGAAATGGCTGGACCTGGAGCATCGTCGTCGACAACCGCATCCTCTGGCACCGTAGGAGTGTCGGCAACCACTGTGTCGACCATGGTTCGCGATCGTGAAGTCTAAAGAGTGTATTAAACGGAAACTGGTAGAAGTAAGAAGTAAAGAATGTGGTGGGATCCTTTGTTTAGGCTAAGATCGCTAACACGGCTGGCTCCCACAAGGATACAGTCAAGATTCTGTCAAGCACGTGCGCGGATACACCTGCTTTTGTACGAGCAACCGAGTTATGTACTTGTAGTCTGGACATCCCGAAACCCAGAGTCAACACAATGGCAATTTGTTCAGTATCGAGATAGACGCGACCATGTACTATGTAGCTAGTCGCCCGGCAGACGATCCTATGTAGACTGAGATTGGCGCTCGCGCTTATGAAGTATAGATGAACAGAGTTTCATCATCCCGTGCTCGAAACAATTCCAGTGACAGCTCAAGTTGTTCGCCTAGTTCGGAGGCGTCGTGAGCAAACCCTTCAAAGATTCTATGATTTTCCTTGCATGGACTCTCAATTTGCCGTTACCTCCCTCCGGAGACTCCCGTTTTATATATCCGAAACCCAAATTTGTCAGCAGTCCTTTGCACGCTCTCGTCTGCCATGGCGGCTGCGCCTTCCACTGCCTGTTGTGACCACCAATGTACCGCAAGCTCGCGGAGTTGAGGGTGGCGCATGACGGCTTCTTGAGTATACCTAAGAAGGTGGGCTCTAGGAAGTACACGTTCTAGGTGCGCCAATGCGGGTGCAAAATGTGTCGAAGGATTAGGCGCATAGACCGGTGGTAACATTTGGATGAGTAGAGGAAGAACAAGGAACAATATGTGGCGTATGATGAAAAGGTTATCATGCCACTATTAGACATTCGTTAGTCGCTTCCAAAATGGGAGGAAGCGAAGAAGCGTACCATGAAGGCATGCCGGGCATCTCTGGACAGTGGCACGTCACTGGCATAAGTCATTGCATACCCTTCTGCTAAAAACGCGCAGATCGATATACCAAGCGCAACTCTTCGTAGGTGTTTGCGACCGTTCACAGCGGTGGTGAGCAGTAGCGAAAGAGTAGCGGTTCGCAAGTACTGAAGAAGTATGAAGGATAAATTGAATAATGCATAGTCCCCAGCAGAGGAACAGAATTGACATGACTGCATGGAAAGCTGACCGAATCTATGCGGCATTGAGAATTAGTGACGTCCTACTAGGCTCAGCGCACACCTTGTGAACAAGCCTCTGTTGCCGTGTACAACAAGACGGCTGAGTAACAACTCGACGTCCTGCGGCATGGCGACCGCACCCTGGCGCTGCCAGTCAAGACCTGCTTCTGTTGATAAGAGCAGTCTCAATTGATCCACGGGGACATTGAGGGGTACGTTCAAGCGCTTAAACAAATTAGGTGGACGATGCAGTAGGATCTGACAAAGGACGTGAATCGAATGCAAGGAAACTGCCAGAGGCAGCAAGCGACGGTAGACATGTTCGGAGGGGTGATATCGAGATACGTAGGACCACGATCCTAGCAATACCAGCACGTACACGATAGCGTCTCCGTACGAGCTGGAAGTCATCAAGTCAGTGCAGTACTATTCGGTGTCGGACTTCGGATGGCAGTGGAAAGTCCCGTCGCATGCCACAACACACCGCCGCATCTGATCAAGGTTGTCGTCAATTGAAGTGCCTTACATCGTCTTCATATCACACTGATACAGCGATTGTCTGTCCTACCGGTCCGTTGTTGGCGACCGGATTGAGAAATCTACAAGCTTCATGTCCTCGTGCCTCCAGGAATGTCTTGTTGCGCCTTCCGAGGTTAAGTTTGCAAATTCCGTTTGGATGTCCAATCGCGCGTCGCAGGCCCATCCGAGCCCGTCACTATTGGTGAAGAATCCGGATCCGGGCAATGCATACCGGCTTGGGCACCCGAGTGTTACTATCTATCGACTGAATATGGCATACAAGAGACGTGGCAGTAGCAATGGTGCTTCCACTGTAGTATGTATCAGAGTTCGCAGGACAAGGTGGCGTATTGACGGTCTCATCCACTGCCAGGGCCATTTGAAATCACGGAATCCAAGTATGTACGCCACGACTATGGTTTATCGAACAGAACGAGCCGAGCTGGCTCAGCACCATGAATCTGAACCTCGGATCGGGTCTTCGGCTTCAGGTATCACAACCTTCGGAACGACGGGGACCGATGTCAGATAATGTTGCCTTCTGTTCTCCACAACATACCATAGCCTTCGAGAAGGCCAGTGTTCTGAAAAGCGAACCTAGAGGTAGTGAAGCCGAAATGGGGGGCACGCTTTGACAAATGAAAAAAGAAATGGTTCAACTGAGGCTCGAACTCAGGACCTTCTGTGTGTAAGACAGAAATCATAACCACTAGACCATTGAACCGACACCGTCCCAGCACCGTTTGTGCTTGACGATCTATTGCTCGATTACCCCGTCCTCTCTTTTGCGGCAATTACCACGTTGTGTACCATGTGTTCTGTGCCCGGTACAAAGTCTTTCAACTGGATCCGGGTCGTGTTGGCGTGACGGGCGTCTTGGGCCGCATGCAGTCACGACAATTGAGTTGTTCCCGTGACGATTAGATATCAGCTTCACTTCGAGTCTCACGGTATCTTGTCTGTCATTCTCTTCCGCTGACCCGCTATCTACCGTCCTTGCAAGCTGGATGCGTAGTATTCAACCTGATTTCTACGGTGATACCGCATGCAATCTTCGGAACCTGAGATCCACAAGGTAGGTGTTATGATCTGATTGGTCCAACTCAGTCATTAGGGATTTTCACTTCATAGGGAAAAACATGCGCCCGCAGTCGGCACTGGCTCTAATTCTTTGGCAGTGTCTGGCCATTACCGTGGGCTTAGCCCTGGTAGACTCGACACGCGGGCACGAGGTCTTGCACCTTCTGGCCGTCTCTACCGGTCCTGGACCAGTTTCCATTTCGCAGTCATCTTCTAAAGCGACTCCAGCGTCTAGTGAGCGTCCAGTTACTCCCATTTTCCATACGAGCCCGTTCGCTTACTCTAGGCCAACGCTGCCTCAAAACCATCCCTAGCCATGGCTACCACCTCGGGAAGCCCTACATCTTCCACTAGCACTCCGTCGCCCTCGTCCTCTGCAACCAAACTCACTTTTAATGCCATCCAAAACATGACAACGTGTGCCTCTGCCTCAATTACATGGAGTTACGGCGGAAACCAAGCGTATCTCGTGTTGGCGGTCACCAATATCAGTGTTAACCAAACTCATTCTCAAGCACTTGACGTTGAACAAAGGCGGAATGTTGCTAGCACTACGGTTTTCCAGACGCTTGCCAACATCACTGCTCAAACTGGGTCGTGGAGATGGGCTTCCGTTAATCTGACTCAGGGCTGGTACGAGATAGAAGGCTTGGTGGGCACTCTAACTGCATGGTCGTCACCGTTCTACATCTCGAACGGCTCGAATACGTCCTGTTTGACAAGTACTTCCACTGCATCCCAATCGTCAACAGCCACTCCCAGCCCTGTGTCTAACTTAACATCGTCCAATGACAAGAAAACGGGCACTATTGTAGGGTCGGTCATAGGTGCCTTGGTCGGAGTCTCATTCATCGTTGTCCTTGTCATATGGCTGCGTCGTCGCAAAAGGTCACCAATCCGAGGAGGATTTATACTGCGAAATGTGGGAAGATGGAGTTCGCTCACTTCGAACGCTTCGAGTGTGAAGCATAGAAGCAATGATTTCGCGAATCGTCACTACCGTGGGCACACCGACTCCACTTCGAGAGGGGGGGAAAGCGTCACCGGCAGTAAAGCATCCAACACTGGTCCCCTCGGGGATTCTGACGACCCTGCTGTTGAAGCAGGGAGAGAGTGAGAGGACACACTCAACCTATTCTCATTCCCCCCCCTGGGATGGGTACTTTCGATGCATTCGACGTACCAGTGTCACACTGTCCGTCATGCATCCATTCACTCAATTCAGAGCCCGGCAAGTGCCGTCGACAGGTCCCGCTCTCGCACAATGTCCGTGCGGACTTCCAACACCGCTCTTGAACGACAGGCTCAACGAATACGGTCCTCGATGGAAGGGTCCATGTGTTTACGCACCGAGCGTCTGTCGATGCCAATCATAGCACCGGCCGCTCTTGACCGTTCACCTACGTCTCCCATCAGACGAACATCCGATCATCCCGCAGAATCGGGGGGGACGTCCGTTACCCGTTCCGCATCAACCAGCGGTTCTGCTACACGTCGTACGCCACGGAAGCCTGTCCCGCATTACGATCCGTCGGAATTGGGCGACGCACTTGTTGGTCAAGTGAATGACACCCGCTCTACTGCCCCATCCGGTGAAGACTGTTCTGCATCCAATAGTGCTGAGACCATGTCATCGAGGGCTATATCCGACGCATCGCGCTTACCTAGCCCGGGGTCTGGTTCGTCCTGTACATTATTTAATTCCAGATTTGCCCCCACTCCCAAAGGAGTAGTAGGTTACGCGGTGAGCTATATCACTCATCGGTGATGCCCGAGATAGCCAGCAGCATGCCACGCGGAGTCAGGGTTCACGCCGATGAGTTATCTATCAATTCCTCTACGCGAACTGTCGGCGTTCCACTCCCCAATTCGTCCGCGCTGTGTTATCTTAATTTTCAATTCGGACAGGCTTGTTCTTTGTTGTAAAATTGACAATATGTTTCTATACCTGATACGCACATGTCCGGACACCGTTTTTCCCCTCGCTTAGGTAGTCACTGTAGCATCCCCCTCTGCAAGGCTTCTATGGGCTCATCGTGCCATCGTAAACTGGCATCTATGCAACCTCATTGATAACATTAATTTGTGTGATAGATTTTGATATGACAAAGGGAATATCACGGATCCACGGAGACCATCAGTTATGGTATTGTGTGATGATAGGTTTACCCTAAGGGACAGATAAGTGCCATGGACAAGAATAAAAACATAGCTATAGTGATAAGGACAGAGGATTGCATGACAGTGATCCTACAGTTCGCGAGATTCATTGTCGTCTAGAGTTAAACCACCAGATATGGGACAAAGTATAGAGTAGGACCAGTTTTGTACAGGGTGGTTCACGACCAACCATTGAAATTTCGACGGCGTAGGGGCAGAGGTATCCAGGGTGCCCGACTCTTTGGATCACTTCCACGGTTCGTTGTCTGAGAATTCGTGAGTCCCACTTTCCGTATCTTGGCAAGTCTAAAATAAACGCCTCGTCAGCGGAAATCCTGATTTACCCATGTATCGAGGTACTACCTCCATAGACCTGCCCAAGCTGCAAAAGCTGCAATAGCAGCTGAAACGGCAGTCATCGCGGCGAATGCATAAGGCAACTCTTCCAGGTGGCTTTTCAGCTTTAAAGTCGTATTAGTTGCTCGTAAAATAGGGCAATCACATGGAACGGCTTACATTCATCCCGAATAATCCCGCAACAAGAGCCCCGCTGCCAAGACCCATAGTCAAAATGGAAACCTGGCTGGCTAGTCAGAAATTTCTACATTTGCACGTGCAAACTCTTGCCTTCAGATCCAACGCTAGGAGCGCGTTGCGATTGGAGTCTAAAATAAGCTCTACAATTTCCTGTGTAGATTGAACGTTGCTCTATTGGTGAAGATAAGCTGCTGTCATATCATTTCGAGGGTTCTCGCTGGTAGACAGACCTCGATATTCTCTGCTTCGTTGACAATCTCTTCGACTTGTTTCGAGAAGAATTCTAGAAGAACTTCTAATTCATCGTGCTCGTGGTTTTGCCGGGCCACGCCCTTCTTTTTGTCCGTCAAGTACATTGCGTTTAGATCGTCATCTAGAACCGGTTACAAATACATATTGGGAAGCGGGTAGTCGCGGACCTTGTTCCAAGACTTCTTCGAGGGCGTCTTGCACCTGCTCCGATTGATATACGAATCTACGCGGACTAGTGTTCATAACACACGCACGAGTCTGGCACGATTTTTGAAGCTGGCGAGACGCCTAGAGTAATGAAGCAATCGCTTAAACTTGTCATGGTTTATGTCATCTTCGAGCTCCGCCAGAAGCCCTCCAACAAGGTTGCGAATAAAAACCATCTCGGCTTCAAGAGCACTCAGCACGGAGAGAAGAATGGATTCGATTGCTCTGTTGAAGTCGATAGTTGGAATGGAGGGAGTATGGTTCGTGTAAACTCACCTGAACTCGTAGGGAGAACCGCCGCCGCGGACCTTCAGGTTATGCTTTGCAAACAATGGGGAAGATGCCCGGTTTAAGCTGCTAAGATTCAGCTTACCTCGAGGTGATATAGGAAGGCGGAGTGGAGCCTGGAATCGTTGGAACCATAGGTGTCAAACAGGACGACAGTATCCGCCTTAACTAGGGCTCGGATGTGCAGTATATTTATCTGTGTTGTTAGGCATTGGAGAAGGCTGGAAAATGTGTCTTACAAGGATGGCTTCTTTGCGGATTAAGATGGTAGGAACGAGGTTGGGTATTCGTGAATCAATTTTGCGGAGGTCACGAGGCTTGAGGGCAACGTTAGCAACAACAGTACGACATGTAAATGGGAGTGAATGTTTCTTACGTTTAATCGATGTTCGTTGCATAAGTCTGATCTTCTGAACTGCCCGGAGATGCTCTTAACAGCGCCTATGTCCAATGGGACATATAAGCAAGTGAAAAGGGGATAGTGTGGACACTAGTCACCGTCTTCATCAAGGATGGTACCTGCAAAGATGTCAGCAAACATAAGCCTGTCCAGTCAGCGGCGCCAGGAGACGGCATACAGCGCAGCATGAGATCCCCAGGGAGCCTCCCCTTCATGACCTTCTCTAGAATAGCAGCCTTGGCTACTTCTTCTTCATTCTCAGGGATCACCTCGGCACTCGACGTGTGTGACTTCAGGTTCAGTAGGGCTTTCCACGATGCGAGGCGAGGGGTGTCACCTAGCAATACGAGCCCCCTCCTCGATGGAGATGCTTGATGCCAACGGTGCACAAGTGCAAGGGAAGAGAGAGACTGCACACTACATCTTGGAAGGCACTTGAGACCGGCCAATAGCATTACATCCCTGACCTGCACACGTCGCAGAATAGTCTGCATCCACGGTGAGGGCAGAAAAACCGTTGGCCGCTTTTGGTTTGCCAGGAAGGACGAAAATCAAGTTTTCGCGAAAATTCCCCAATTCCGACGGAAAACTCGGGTTCGTTCCTATTTGAAATGGGAAAACCCTGATGATAAGTCGCTTCCACTTCCAAATGGGAAGAACCAAGGTCACGTGTGACTGGCAGCTGCATCATGCTGCCATCCTCCCCATACTCCGTGTCAGATCTTGGGCCGTTTTCGCAGGAACATTCCGTTCGATATATGTATTAGTCTGTATCAGCAACTCGAACTTTGTATTTCGAG